GAAGAAGAAGAAGAAGAAGAAGAAGAAGAAGAAGAAGAAGAAGAAGAAGAAGATTTTTGTGTGTAAATGTTTAACGCCCTCAATTACGCAACTTAGATCGTTTCGGGACAGGCTTCGATTCTGCCTGTAAGAGCCAACACAGGCTGAGAGGGATACAATGTCCAAACAGAAAGACGTAGATACTCGACAAAAAATTTTCTTTTACAGGAATCGAATTTATCTTCTCTGTGCGACGGTGAAGCGCCTATTGTAAATTTAATTGCTTCTACTGCAACGCACTTTTTTTGGTTTATGTAGAGGTTTTACAGCGCTCGCAACTACATAAGGTCATATGAGCGCCACAATGCACTTTAGTTGGGGAAAGTTTTGTTAGCATAATATCAGTGAGGGAGTATAAAGACTGGGATATTAATTTCAGTTCTCGATGGAACGTGCTCGCACAATATTTGCCGCAACCAGCGGGGGAAAACTCTTGGAGACTGACCGTACAGTGTTAATACTTCGGACAACAAGACGAACATTCTAAAAAGATGTTTCATTCAGGATGAATATATATTTATTTTTTTTAGCGAGAGTAATACTCTTAAGAAGAAAGATGCTAAAATATTGTTAGCAGCTCTGGTGTATATAGGCTATAGGGGACAAAGTCGCGTAGACGCCGAGGCCTCCATCAAGCCCCCGCTGATCCCCTTCGCGGAGCGTGACATCACTAGCTGGATGGCGACTTGGCGCATTCCACACGCCTTGTGGACCCTAAATCAACAAGGCGACAGTTCGTGTTGTTTTAACTCATTTTCTTCCCGTTGTTGAAAGCAAGAACGCCTTCGTTTGTTTGTGCAGAACGCCGCCAATTGTCAGGGGGTGGGAAAGTCAAGAAGCTGCTCCAAGATGGAGCGGGTTTCTTCTTCCTGTTTCGTATGTCTGTCTGTTTGCTTTGTTTCTGCGTTTGATTTCCCACTTTGGTCTAACTTGATTTTGAACTGTGGAAAATAAATGGCAAATTAGCCCGTCTCGTCTTTTGTGCTGCGATCTGGGCGCTTCAAATTATATAGATTTACACTTAATATGTTGTTAATAGGCTGCTTTCCCGAGTTCCGAGAGCGCGATATTTTTTATTTTATTTTTATTGTTGTCCTTGTCGCTTCCTTGACAAGAACCAATAGGCCGTGGCTGAGAGCTCGTGTACCCACAGTATCATCACAGATTGCAATAATGATCATTAAGTACCTCTTCCCTCTTGCCAGTATCACCCACAAAGTATGATATTTGGCCATCCTCCCACCACAGGGACTGATCCTCATTCATGTTGTCAGCAAAGAATCAACGTGTCAAAACTTCCTAGACTTCAAAAAGCCACTGAGGGCGACTCTATATTCATGTGGTCCCACATAGAACAAGCCCATTAAACACACTGACTAAAAAATAACCCGAAAACCAACAGCAAACAAACAAGCAAACGAAAAGCAGCTCAGAAAATAGACTCAAATACTAAATCCTATTGACGTTCATAACGAGCCATATGTTGCCCCAAAGAGAAAGGCCTTAAAAGAAATATACTTAGTGCACCTTTCAACCCCCCCAACCCCCCCCTCCCCCACCCCAAAACAAACCAAAAAATTAATTACTTTAACATTAACACGAGTGTTGTCATCATTTAACAGGACTCAAAGCGAATTAATACTAAATATATATTCAATAGCGTTCAAATCAGGGAGGTCCGTTAACTCTGGGTTTAGGCCCAAGGGCCGCTGACGTATTATCTAATGGAGCTTCACCAATGGCATCGTCTGGCCATAAATGACGTCTCCCGCTTGACTGAAATATACATTGATCTAAGCGTCAGAATCCTTGACTACTGCAGTTCTTCTTCTTCTTCTTCTTCTTCTTCTTCTTCTTCTTCTTCTTCTTCTTCTTCCAGTATAAAAATATTTACAGTAACAAAGACAACAAGAGCTATGACACCACCACTACCGTCATCTCCACCAGCACGATGACGACGGCAACAACAACAATAACAATACTAGCAGCAGCAACAACAACAACAACAACAACAACAGCAGCAGCAACAACAACAATAGTGTTCCCACAATAATTACTATGACTTTACAGCTATAGCTGCAAGTGCTGCTATTTTTGTTGTAAGTTCAGTTACCGCCGCTGACACGTCGATCGAAAGTTCAAGTATACACGGTTGAAACAATCTCCCTGGTCGACTTCTCTTAAGAAAATGTTAAACATATCGTACGACACAAGCCACAAAGGTTAAAAAATTTGAAATGTCAGTTATCTTTTCGATAACAAAGCTCTTTATACTGCTTTATCTTCTTTGAAACAAGCGACTTCAAATTTAATTTAAAACATAGTTGTGAAACATCGTTAATCGCTCAATGACAAATTAGGTCTCGCGCCTGTATAGGCCAAAAAACCGTTTCTCTGGCAGTTGCTGTATACAAAGGTAGACTTTGACGCAATATGTTGAAACAATATTGGCTTTGGCTATTCCTTATTGTGCCGCCAGGTTTGGCCAATATACGAGAAGAGTCCCCTATATAAACTATAGTATTTGCGCCTTCACACTGCCATCCGCCAACTGTTTCAGTTGTATGCTCCTTTTTTTACTACTGTAAATTTATCCCATTGTACCACCAACAAACTGGTCGCCAGAAGTACACGGTACATACTAGGCAGTACACGACGCCCCATGACCCATCCCACCTCCTTACCCTTGTCTTGTAGATTTCAGGCAATTTGGATATATCTACAGTGATGTGGTGTGTCGCAAGCGAACAAAATACAATGTGCAATGTAGAAGAGTAAAACAAAAGTTGCTCCCCCATCCGATCCGGACATTGGGGATTGCCTTGTTAGTGAGACAACTCCCTGGGCCTTCGGCATATTGGCTTAGGGTGACCAGAAGAGTATAATAAAAAATAAAACATAACTGTAATTCAGCATCAAGTTTCGCACTCCGCGTGAATCCGAAGAAATTTGAGGCGCTGATCATGAAAATGCTATTCCGTTCAGGCCTTAGCCAATATAACATTAAACAATGGATTAAAAATGTTAAGTCGTTTGGAGAAACTTTAAAGAAACCTCGCCACCTCGGCACCCCCCGCAAATTATCTGGTGTAGCCAAATATCACCCCAATTTAACTTAAAGATGGGCGAATGCCCAAGGGACATTTTTAATAATAATAATAATAATAGATAGCATTTGTATAGCGCATATCCCCGCTCAGCAGCAGGCTCTATGCGCTTTACTCTATATTAATGACAACTCACGCTCAAGTTTAAGAGACAGATTGAAAGGAGGTAACTCATTACTTCATCTAGTGATTGATAAACAAGCTTCTTTGACATTGGGCAGTCGGTGTGACATGTATCTAACAGAGGATATGAAAACCTCGTTGTACCACCAACCCCACTGTACCGCCAACTTCATCTTCGTCCCAAGGTAGGCGGTAAAACGAGGTATATATGAATAGGGGTAGAACCTGATTTTTCTTTTAACTTCCCAGAGTGTTCCTGCCTGCTCCAAGTCCCCGGGGAGACCAAGAGATCCGCATAAAAAACCTATTTGGCGCCTCACAGGGCTTCAGCTTAAACACAAACAAAACACAGTTGACCTTATTTACCTTGACATATCCCACTTCCATTTGCAATACGGGCACCGCCCTCCAAACCACAGTGGAATCCCAGGTCGGAGTCACAATCCCCCCCGTCCGCCGGCCGACATGGTTGTCCAGCTTGTACGGGGCAGCAACCGGAAGACAGTTTTGGGCGTTGTCCTGTGCAAACCACGTGATTTCCACAGCCTTGCTGGTGGCTCAGTTCTGCCAGAAAGGCGAGAAAGAAAATCACGTGGCACGGGACAGCGGAGGCAAGGTGCAGTGGCATCCGTGTAGACTAGGAGAAACCCCGCTCACACCGGAGATGACCGTACAGAATACGGTAAATCCCTGTCACACCGGAGATGACCGTACAGAATACGGTAAATCCCTGTCACGTCGGAGATGGCCGTACAGAATACGGTAAATCCCTGTCACGCCGGAGATGGCCGTACAGAATACGGTAAATCCCTGTCACGCCGGAGATGGCCGTACAGAATACGGTAAATCCCTGTCACATGGCACAGGCAGGAACCGTTACTGTGGGCAGCTGGAACATGGGTAGAGTACCGTGGTGAGTAGTGTAAGCTGAGCAAGGGGTCAGGAGAAGACCCACATTTCATGTCGCGAGTAAGCCACCCGAAGATTTCCACTTGGTTCCTCTTTATTAAGAAAATACTTTTTATCCTCTGTTGTGTGAGGGCGGTCACAAGTCCAGTTATCTCAGCGAAGTGGTCCAGCTGATGGTACTCGGGGTTGTATCAGGCCGTGTCCAGTTTTGCTGCAAGTATACGCAGTTTAACCCATGATGGTGGAAGAAAGTCGTCTGAAAGACAAACACATACGTAACATAAGAAACGGTGACGAGAGGAGCTAGAAATACTCTCGTTGGAACGTTTATAAAATTTAGTTAAGAACTAATCACTAGGTGATTATTGACAACATTTTGCACATCTTTGATATCCTTTATTAGGGGTGCAGAAAGTTTTGTTTATCTGATGTATCTTGCTAATCAAAACAGAGGTTTCTACTGTGGAACCTTAAAGTGGCCAATCCAGCACTGATTTTCCTCGAAGCTACAAGTATATTGGTTTAGAAGTCCTCTCTCGATACAGCCTAGAATGTACCAAAGCACTACTATTGAGAACCTCAGAAGGACACGCGGCACGTGAGTGTTTGGCTGTGTGTGTGTGT